CTATTGCAAGGGCTTTTAGATAATCAGAGATTTTGTTCCCAGTAAGCATTTTCATATTTAGACTAGAAAGCATATATTTAATCTAGTGTAAAGTGCAAGTATGTTTTAATTTTATTTTGCTTATTAGTGAGAATTTTTAGTACCGGTAAGCTTTTTAGCTACACAAGTATTGATTTGGAATTAACCTAGGTCCTATAATTGTACCTGCCATTATTACCAGTAAACATTTAGAGATTTGTTTGTAAAAATTATGTGTAATTGTCCCACTGATATTGATTCAAAAAATGTCATTTGCATGCTTCATTAAATAAACTTATTAGTCCGGTGTGCAAAGTGTCCGTTGAGAGCGAGGACTGACTTCAAGTTTAATCTCAACTTTGTTTCAGATAATTCAGACAGTCAGCGCTGCAGACCGAGACCTTTCACCTGCTGGGCAGCAGTTCTCCTTCAGATTATCACCCGAGGCTGCCATCAAACCAAATTTTACAGTCCGTGACTTTAGGAGTAAGTATAAGCATGCAAAGATTTACCACTCATATTGCATTTTTTTTTTTTAAAGGGCACAAAGGGAAGAATCAATGATTTTTCCTAAAAGCACTTCATTTTATAAATTTCTCATACATGAAATCCATATATGGGAAATTCAAAATTCTATACCTAGTAGTAAATTAAATATTGGATCTCTATACTGCATCTATTCAGGCAGCTTACTTACATTATACGTGTGGATAGTCTCTTAATGAGCTAAGCAAATAAAAGACTACCTGGCAAATTGAACGCTTTCTTTGTTTTGAATATATCATTTGTCCCCCAACAGATTACTCTACACATAAATAGGAAACTCTTTAGTAACTATTCTGGACTAATACACAGTACTGTAGCGGTTAAGAATGTAGTAACTGAAATTAAAATGATGAGGGTTTTCATTTCCACTCTATATCACCTAAATGATAGATAATTTTTATTTATGTATATTTATATTTATTTATTTATCTTGTGGGTATAGCAAAGAAGAGAATTTATAAAGGAGAGGGAGAGGGAAAAAAAAGGAATTCTCAAGAAGAAGGGAGGGGTCCCATAATGTTAAACCTCACAGTGTTTGCCTTAAATAAAATCATATATACAGGGACCAACAAATTGTATGGTGGTTAAGGTGCTGGACTCCCACATGGTCAACCATGGTTTGAGTCCCAGACCTGGCAGCTTACTTTCTGACTTTCTCTCTCTCTGGTCAAAATAAAAATAAATAAATAAATAAATGAAATGAAATAAAAGAATTCTTTATTAAAAATCATATTTGCAGGACCAGCAGTTAGTGTAATGGCTGTCACTGGGCTCCCATGTACTTGACTGAGGTTCCAGTCCCAGACCCGGTAGCTTAAACTCACGTCGGGTGCATGTGCATGTGTGCCCAAGATCCTGAGATAATGGAGGAGAAGGGATTGTGGTGTGGCCATCCCCCCTGGGGGGGTGATTTCTCGTTTTCTGTCTGTTTGTCTCTCTCTGTCTTTCTAGCGAGTACACATGCCCTATAAAAAAACTTCTCAAAAAAAATCATATTTGCAAAGCCTTTAACATATTGTCTAACATATGTTACTGTCAAGGTGATTTTAACAACTATCCATGCCATCATGTTTACATTTATATTTCTTACTGCTTTTCTTACTGCTATCATGTCTGCGACTACCAACACTAATTATTATTGTACCTGCTATTACTATAGCCACTACAAAAAACGTAAAGGCACATGAACTAGACACATAAGGTCAAGTACTTGTCTGTTGCTCTGGGTGGATGGGAAGGAGCTTTAAAAAGTTCATTGGAAAAGGGTAACAGGAAAAAGAAATATATAGATTTCTATTTTTTGCTTTCATTTTTTTTAAAGTAAAAATAAATTTGCATTTTAAGTTCCATTTTTTCATAAATTTGTAGAAATCCCATACACACACACACAAACACACATAAACATATATATTCACATTTATAATATACAAGATGAGAAAAACTAAAGTTTTAATCTAAAACAGCTTTTTAATTTATTTATTGCTATAGGGTGCGTGTGCTCACCAGAGATGGATAGTAAAAAATCATGCCCCATGGGGAGATGGCCATGCTTCAATCCCTTCTCCTTTGTTCTGCTTTCTGGATTTTGGGCATGCATGCTCATGTACCCAGCATGATTTCTAAGCCACCAGGTCTGGGACTCAAACCGCACAGGTGGCCATGTGGAATTCACTGCCTTAACCTCCATGCCACCTGCTGGACTCAGCCAATTTTCTTTGGATGTATTTTAAAAATAGATCCATAGGTAAGATATTTTATAGACTCATAATTTTTAGTTTTTGCTTTTATATTTTGTATGAGAATATCCACAAGAGTATTATTTTTCTCTATGTGATTTTGATGTAAAAAAAATATCGGTTAACACAACATGTCTCTTGTAAACCATTGTATAGTCTTTCTAAATAAAGCATTTAATATTTACAATAGGTATGATGATTATTTCTTCTTTCCTTAGGGATTATTTTGATTATATCTGATTGCATTTTGCTACCTTTCATAATAATTATAGAAAAAATTAAAATAAGAATGTGTTTTACTGACTCAGGAAGAACTTAGTACTATTTAGCAGACACTAACTTTAAGGTGTGAAGTGAAGCTCATTGTAACCATCTGATAAATGTCACAATTTTTAGACAACACAGCTGGAATTGAAACCCGGAGAAATGGATACAGTCGCAGGCAGCAAGAGTTATATTTCCTCCCCGTTGTAATAGAAGACAGCAGTTACCCCATCCAGAGCAGCACGAACACAATGACTATTCGAGTTTGTAGATGTGACTCTGACGGCACCATCCTGTCTTGTAACGTGGAAGCAATTTTCCTACCTGTTGGACTGAGCACTGGAGCTTTGATTGCAATCCTACTGTGCATCGTTATACTCTTAGGTTGGTTTCAGTGTTGATCCTTCTCTCTTCTATCTTTATTTTCTTTGTCTATCTCTCTGCTTAACATACCAAGTAAATCAGTTTTTCTTCATTGTGATGTTACATTGGGATAGAAGATAACCCATCTGTAGGCCAACCCCATGGTTTACCAATTAAGATAGCCAGATCACATGTCACCCATCAACGACATGGTTCAAATCCCTGACCCAGTGGCTTGAAAAGTACACTAAGCATTGTGTGTGCTCCATCTCCAAAACTCCATCAGGGTAGGGAAATGGAAGAGAAGAGATTCCAGTGAGACCTGCCCCATTGAGAGATGTTTTCTCCCTCTCTGTCTCTCTCATAGTGATATTCTCTGTAAGAAATATTAATTTCCCATAATGTTTTTTTTAGAATTATTATTTAATTTTATTTATTATTATTAATAGTTGTTATTATTTAATTTACTATAGGCACACGTGCTCACCAGTGAGAGAGAGAAAAGGCAAGCCATCATGTCCAGGTCTCAAACCGTGGTCAGTCATGTGGACTCGGTCTAGTGCTCCAACCACCAGTCTGCTTGCTGGCTCCTCTACAATGGTTTCTAAATTCATTTCCCATCCTAGCCACTATTGTGGTCTGATAAGAAGCGAAGCTATATTTAAAAAAATACTAGATAAGTAATAGTTCTCAAATTCCAGTTCAGTAAAGAAAAGGAGAATAGAGAAAGGAGAGGGAAAAGAAAAGAACATAAAGGGACTGCTTGATTTATATTTCTCTGTTTAAACTGCCAGCCAGAAGCAATTCTTCTACTTTTCTCACATCTCCTCACATCAAAATTCTAACCATTCCCACTAGAACAGAACAGAACAAACTAAAATATCTTGAAGCCCTGCAAAGGAAAAGGATTGAAGTTAAATATATTCTGTAACATCTCTGTGAGAGTGAACATAAACCTACTTTAGGGGTTTCCCTCTTCCATCACTCTGTGCAGCTTCTCCATTTCACTTGTGAATTCACTGCCAGATTCGTGAAAGCAGCGAGGTTTTCTGTTTTGCCTTTCATTCCTTTGAATTCAGCTTGCAACAGACATGCAATTGAGCACTGTGGAATCACTTATATATGCATATTTACTATTTAAAGTTATTCTGAAAAATGTGTAATCTACTTTTATCTCTAAGACAGAAAATACAAAATTTACAAAATTGCCAGAATGTAAAAGATAGAATAAGGGAGTTTCTAATAGTAACTTTTCCTAAGCCTGAAACCTCACACTGTCTTGGAGGGTGATGTTCTAGTTCAATTTGCACAGTGTAGATATTAATCCCACAAAAGTACTCAATGTGCTGGAAAAAAAGTATTCTTTATATTCTGATTATTTTTGTTTTGTTTTGTTTTTCTATTTAGCCAGAGGGCATGAGGACTTCCCAGAGAGAGTGAGGCAGAGAGAGGAAGATAGAAAACATTCTCCAGTGAGGCGCATTGAAACTAGAATCCCTTCTCTTTTATCTCTCCATCCTGTCGGAATATGGGGATTGCACATGCCTGGCACGTTTTTCAATCCTGCCAGGGCCAGGATTCTAACAGTGGTCTGCCATGTGGGATCTGGCTCTCTTAATTACTGGGCCACTGGCCCAGCCCTATCCTCCCAACTTATAAGAAAGTATCCCTTGCATCTATTTGTGTTGATGATATAAATCTTAAAAAGGAGCATTCAAAATGCCATTCTCATACTTGAATTGAACATGATCGATGAGTTATTTAACTTCTGATCAAGCGTTTGTTTTCTGTACTGTCTCCCATTCCTTGTTCTCTTTGCAGTTATCTGCCTCGGAGTCTCGCTGTGTCAACTGAGCATGACTGTCTCTCCGGAGAGTACATGGCCCTCGAGCAATTTTTTTTTTGCATTTTGCTACCTTTCATAATAATTATAGAAAAAATTAAAATAAGAATGTGTTTTACTGACTCAGGAAGAACTTAGTACTATTTAGCAGACACTAACTTTAAGGTGTGAAGTGAAGCTCATTGTAACCATCTGATAAATGTCACAATTTTTAGACAACACAGCTGGAATTGAAACCCGGAGAAATGGATACAGTCGCAGGCAGCAAGAGTTATATTTCCTCCCCGTTGTAATAGAAGACAGCAGTTACCCCATCCAGAGCAGCACGAACACAATGACTATTCGAGTTTGTAGATGTGACTCTGACGGCACCATCCTGTCTTGTAACGTGGAAGCAATTTTCCTACCTGTTGGACTGAGCACTGGAGCTTTGATTGCAATCCTACTGTGCATCGTTATACTCTTAGGTTGGTTTCAGTGTTGATCCTTCTCTCTTCTATCTTTATTTTCTTTGTCTATCTCTCTGCTTAACATACCAAGTAAATCAGTTTTTCTTCATTGTGATGTTACATTGGGATAGAAGATAACCCATCTGTAGGCCAACCCCATGGTTTACCAATTAAGATAGCCAGATCACATGTCACCCATCAACGACATGGTTCAAATCCCTGACCCAGTGGCTTGAAAAGTACACTAAGCATTGTGTGTGCTCCATCTCCAAAACTCCATCAGGGTAGGGAAATGGAAGAGAAGAGATTCCAGTGAGACCTGCCCCATTGAGAGATGTTTTCTCCCTCTCTGTCTCTCTCATAGTGATATTCTCTGTAAGAAATATTAATTTCCCATAATGTTTTTTTTAGAATTATTATTTAATTTTATTTATTATTATTAATAGTTGTTATTATTTAATTTACTATAGGCACACGTGCTCACCAGTGAGAGAGAGAAAAGGCAAGCCATCATGTCCAGGTCTCAAACCGTGGTCAGTCATGTGGACTCGGTCTAGTGCTCCAACCACCAGTCTGCTTGCTGGCTCCTCTACAATGGTTTCTAAATTCATTTCCCATCCTAGCCACTATTGTGGTCTGATAAGAAGCTATATAATCCTTAAAAAAATACTAGATAAGTAATAGTTCTCAAATTCCAGTTCAGTAAAGAAAAGGAGAATAGAGAAAGGAGAGGGAAAAAAATAGAACATAAAGGGACTGCTTGATTTATATTTCTCTGTTTAAACTGCCAGCCAGAAGCAATTCTTCTACTTTTCTCACATCTCCTCACATCAAAATTCTAACCATTCCCACTAGAACAGAACAGAACAAACTAAAATATCTTGAAGCCCTGCAAAGGAAAAGGATTGAAGTTAAATATATTCTGTAACATCTCTGTGAGAGTGAACATAAACCTACTTTAGGGGTTTCCCTCTTCCATCACTCTGTGCAGCTTCTCCATTTCACTTGTGAATTCACTGCCAGATTCGTGAAAGCAGCGAGGTTTTCTGTTTTGCCTTTCATTCCTTTGAATTCAGCTTGCAACAGACATGCAATTGAGCACTGTGGAATCACTTATATATGCATATTTACTATTTAAAGTTATTCTGAAAAATGTGTAATCTACTTTTATCTCTAAGACAGAAAATACAAAATTTACAAAATTGCCAGAATGTAAAAGATAGAATAAGGGAGTTTCTAATAGTAACTTTTCCTAAGCCTGAAACCTCACACTGTCTTGGAGGGTGATGTTCTAGTTCAATTTGCACAGTGTAGATATTAATCCCACAAAAGTACTCAATGTGCTGGAAAAAAAGTATTCTTTATATTCTGATTATTTTTGTTTTGTTTTGTTTTTCTATTTAGCCAGAGGGCATGAGGACTTCCCAGAGAGAGTGAGGCAGAGAGAGGAAGATAGAAAACATTCTCCAGTGAGGCGCATTGAAACTAGAATCCCTTCTCTTTTATCTCTCCATCCTGTCGGAATATGGGGATTGCACATGCCTGGCACGTTTTTCAATCCTGCCAGGGCCAGGATTCTAACAGTGGTCTGCCATGTGGGATCTGGCTCTCTTAATTACTGGGCCACTGGCCCAGCCCTATCCTCCCAACTTATAAGAAAGTATCCCTTGCATCTATTTGTGTTGATGATATAAATCTTAAAAAGGAGCATTCAAAATGCCATTCTCATACTTGAATTGAACATGATCGATGAGTTATTTAACTTCTGATCAAGCGTTTGTTTTCTGTACTGTCTCCCATTCCTTGTTCTCTTTGCAGTTATCTGCCTCGGAGTCTCGCTGTGTCAACTGAGCATGACTGTCTCTCCGGAGAGTACATGGCCCTCGAGCAATTTTTTTTTTCTTTTTCTTTTCCTTTTTTCTTTCTTTTTTAGGCAGGGGGGTGGGGAGGGGAGAAATTTTTCTATAGGGCATGTACGCTTACCAGAGAACAGAGAGAGATAGAAAGGGAAAAATCGCCTTCTGGTAAAATGCCCATGTTGCAATCCCTTCTCCTAGGGATTTTGGGCATGCATGGACACATTCCCATGTGAATTTCAAGCCGCAGGGTCTGGGACTTTAAACCACAGTGAAGCACATGGGAGTCCAGCATCTTAATCACTAAATCACCTGCTGGCTTGAAAAAAGAAATTTAATTAAACTAAGAAATACAGTTGACTTCAGGCAATGAAAGAAGAATGTAAACATATATGGTATTGATGATAGTATGCTTACTTTGAATTTAATAAGTCTTAAAGAAAAACTAAAAGCAGCTCTGATTGACTTTAATGTTCAAGGAGAGGGAAACATGGCCATCTGCTTGCTATGCTCAAAGCGCTCTTTTTGTCTTGCTCCAGCCATAGTCGTGCTGTATGTAGCACTGCGGAGGCAGAAGAAGAAAGACACCCTGATGACCTCTAAGGAAGACATCAGAGACAATGTCATTCATTATGACGATGAAGGAGGTGGCGAGGAGGACACCCAGGCTTTCGACATCGGCGCTCTGAGAAATCCCAAAGTGATCGAAGAGAACAAAATCCGCAGGGATATAAAACCAGAGTCTCTGTGTTTACCTCGTCAAAGACCACCAGTGGAAGATAACACAGACATCAGGGACTTCATTCATCAAAGGCTACAAGAAAATGACATGGATCCAACCGCCCCACCGTACGACTCGCTGGCCACCTACGCCTACGAAGGAAATGGGTCTGTGGCAGAGTCCCTCAGCTCTATAGACTCTCTCACCACAGAGGCCGACCAGGACTACGACTATCTCACAGACTGGGGACCCCGCTTTAAAGTCTTGGCCGACATGTTTGGCGAAGAAGAGAGTTATAACCCTGATAAAGTCACTTAGGAGAGACGTGAAGGCTAAAGTACAACTGAAAGGAGAAATTTTTTAAAAAGGGAAAAAAAAGAAAAAAACACCAATAGAAATCACATGCACACACGCGCACACACACACACACACACACAGACCCCGACCCGGGCTTTATTGGACAAGATTCCTTTGATTATCTGGTTTCTAGCAAGTTGCTATATATTTATCATATTGTCAGTTTTGGTTTATTCTGCCGACACAAGATAAATCCTATAATATGTACTTTCTTTGTTTTGTTTTGTTATTTCAGGAACACACTGAGACAAGCTCAGGCCTATTATATATAATTTACTGACATGACAACTAGAACGAAGATAGCTATGTGGCATCACGGTGGAAGAGTGTTAGATTTTTCTTAATTCCACTAAAGTGCCTATTGAAACTCTTATCATTTAAAGGGTATACAGTGCACTCTGCTGTGATGGCATTGCAGGATTCAGAGATAAAGAAGACATAAAACAAAGACACCGTCTTTATGTCAAGGAGCAATAGCAACATGCTGACTCTTCTCGTTCCTTCCGAGAGAAAAATACTTTCTGAACTCCATCTTCTTATAGATCAAAGCATTCTTTTTCTTTTTTTAAACTGTATGCCGAAGCATAATTTGTTTTTATTACCCAGTCAGAAAAATGAAATAAATGCGATAGTATCAACTTCATATGTAAGTCCTGAATTCTGAAAGCAATGTTTGATCTTAATACTAGTTCATATGAAAGTGGTTCATGAAAATGTTACTTTTTTTTCCAAAAAAAAAAATAAAATTACAAAAAAGGAAATAAAAATATTCCTCTTTATAAAGAGATGCCTCAGGTCTCACATTCCACGTTAAAATAAATACTGGCTTTGTTTATACTGTACTGGTGTGTGGAAAATTGGTTTTAAAAAGTCACTAAACTTTTCACTCACAGATAAGATTTCAGGTTGTGTTTTTATGAAAATTTATGAGGGCAAAAAAGTGCCATTAATATTCACATGAGGGGACCAGCAGATGGCATAACGGCTATGTCACTGAACTCCCGTGTAGTCGACTGCGGTTCAAGTCCCAGATCTGGTGACTTAAACTCATGCCGGTCCCGTGTGTGTGTGCCCAAGATTCTGAGAGGAGAATGGAGGAGAGGGGATTGCAGTGTGGCCATGCCCCCCTGGGGGGGGAGTGATTTCTCGCTTTCTATCTCTCTGTGTCTCTGTCTTTCTGGCAAGCACACACTCCCTATAGCAAAAACCTTTCAGAAAAAATTAACATGGGAACAAAAATGCATTACACATTTTCTCAAAGTCTTTTAGTGTAGCGATTCTTGGATGAGCCATGAAAATAAAATATTTAGCAAAGAATAGGAATAGATTTATAACGTGTAAATATATTATACATTACTGGACCAGCAGGTAGCATTGAGGTTAAGGCATACTATGCAGTTCCAGTCCCAGACCTGGCAGTTTGAAAACCACACCAGACACATGTGAAGGCATTCCCCAAGCAGAAGGGAAGGAATTGGAGGATAACCACACACACACACACCCCAGGAGATACTTTCTCACTTTCCCCCTCTTTCTTTTGCTCTCTCTCTCTCTCTCTGGGAAGCACACATACCCTTTAGCAAACTAAACGCAAAGCAAATAGATAAATGTAGAAAAAATCAAGGCAATATTGAATTTGCCATAGTGACAATATTTTTAAAAATATTAGTCATTACTTAACAAATCAAAAATCAGGGTCAAGGAAGTTCAAACCAATGACTAAATCATAAACACAAATGCAGTATCAGACAGCTGATTTACTTCCTTTAGTAACATGGATTGTGATTTTGTGAGCACTGTCGTTACAAGCCCACTCGGAGTTTCCTCTTTGCTCTGTCATCTATAGTCCCTCTAACATACAGGATATCATATTACTTAGCTGCAAAATAACTTTTAAGTCTCATGCAAATTTCTAAGAAATATTCCATTTTATAAGCATATTAGTAAAAAAAAAAAAGGAAAAAGAAACAAACAAAAAAAACACTCCTACATTACTGTCAAGTAGATTGCCTGCTGTCTAGAAATGCACATAACCAGACACAACTTAATTATCACATAATGCATTTTCTCAATAGTATAACTGAAAAAGTGATTACTGAAATAGTGAAACAATAAATAGGGGAAAAAGTTAAAGGTGCTTATAGGTCTGTCTTGAAGATGTGGTCAATATCTTGCTGTCTTTGTAAAATATTTATGAATGTATTTAATATTTGCAAAGTGAATGTAAAAAATTCACATTTGGAAAAAGCAGGTAGAAATAGGAATATGACAGGCAAATTATATCCAGCCCTGCTTATTTGTGAGTGCTTCCTTAAAATGATCTGACTTCTCATTATGCAATGGCAATAGGGTCCTTTGAATTTGCATTAACCATCCTTCTAGGGCATTCCCAGTTGCATACTCTCCTTTACTCCTCATCAAAAATGAATGCTGGTAT